TGTGTCTGAAGCATTTAGGATAATCCAGTAGCTTACATTTCTGATGTCAATTAGACATTCAGGGAGACTTGTTTAATTCATTTGTAATCGATGCTTAAAATGGGAAATTTTAATTTGCTACAATGGGTAGTGGTCGTGGTTAGTGGAATATTCTTTAGTATCTTTAGTTAGTATCTCTGTATCAAATGAAATATTAATAGTTGCAGGTTTTCTTCATGCACAGAACCCTGGGGCACAGCCTGTGTCTCCGATTGAGCCTTTTGTAAAGAGACCATCTGCGTTCCCAAAGAGCCAGCTGTGAGCATTTGACACAGGAAAGACAGTAACTATGCCCCTGTTTTCAAAGGACACGGTCACACGCTACTCAGAGCTGCACCATGACTTCACCACCACTCAGGTGGGCATGCATGATATTGTCCGCAGTTTCCGGCAGACGATGGACCGCTACAGCAGGGAGCCCGGGAGGTACCGGTAAGGAAAATACGTGTTTGTTCTCCACTGGTGCTGCGTGTCACTTGTAGCGATCCCACGCAACTGTGCATTGTTGTTGGATCCTGTCGAGTTAATTCCAACACATAGCGACACATGTAGTGCCTGGAACTCTCCCGTGGGGGTTTCTTGGTTGTAGCCTCTGGGAAGCCATGGTGGGGCTGTGGGCTGGTGATGGGCTGCAGGGCCAACTCACCAACCTTTCGAGAGAAGGATGCGGCTGCCTGCTTCCCTAAAGATTGTCTCAGAGGCCCTATCGAGCGTTGCTATGCGGTGGCATCAATGCCTTGACAATGAGTTGGGGTTTTGTGGAAGTACTTGAGTAAGGATTCTCGGTGGTGCAGGGGGTTAATCAGTGGACTGCTAACTGAAAGCTTGGTGGTTGGAATCCACCAGCCACTCTGGGGGAGAGAGATGAGGCTACCTGTTTCTGTGAAGATTCCCAGCCTCCGAAACCCCGTGGGGGCAGTTCTACTCCGTCCTTCATGGTTGTGATGAGTTGGAATCAACTGGATAACAGTGGGTGTTAGAGTTTGGCATGCTAGAATGTAAGTGTATTTTTTCCTGTTGCTCTGCTTTGCTGATATTCAGCTTCCTCAGTTGTAAAATTAGGAGCCCTGGTGGCTTAGTGGTTATGCTTTGGACTGCGATCTGCAAGGACAGCAGTTAGAAACCACCAGCCAGCCGTTCCTTGGGAGAAAGATGAGTGTGTTAGGCAGGGTTCTGTAGGGAAACAATTCCAGGACACTTATGATTATATATATATATGTGTGTGTATATATATATGTATATATATATATGATAGATTTATACAGCACGAAGGACTGTAACAGTTCTATAGTCCACACAGCAGTACAGAGGGCTCAGTTCAACTCAACTTCCATGGAACAGTCAATGTATTGGAAGTCCTTCAACTCATGAGGGCTGCCAGGTCTAACGTCAAGGAAGCAGACAGATGAGTCTTCCCTCGGGCAATGCAGGCAAGGTCGGCTCACAGGAAGCAAACAGCAGGGCAGGTCACCAACAGTCAGCAGCTCAGGTGCTTCACAAAGCAGGCCCGGGGATGGAATATCAAACTCAAGCAATGCAAGATCACAGGATCCATCAGCCATGAGCTCAAGTGATGTGTGTACCAGCAGTGCCGGGAAGCAGGTCTCAAAGGAACCTCAAACTCTAGCAACAAGATCCATGGGTTGGCTGTCCCACAGGTAGTATAGCTCACAAGTTGAGGCAGAAAACTAGCTAAAGCATCTGCATGCTGGTCCAATCACCAGAGAGCAAGAGAGAGAGGGGCAGGCCTCGCCGAACCATTTATCTCTTTGCCTTCCAATCAAACTGTGACCTCATTAATCCCACATGTTCCTATTGGCCAGGTTGGCACAATAAGCCTACCTATCACCACAGCTGCATCGACTTGAAGACAGTGAGAGAGAGATTACCCGACGGGATTAATAGAAAATCCTTAACTCTTTAGGAAAGACACGAGCATCCAAGACTGACTTTAGTTCTAGGCGTGGTGATGGATAGGCACACAGTCTCTGGACTCCCAACTACCCCTGTTCAGATCCCATCTCTGCAGTGATTAGCGTGCTCAGAGCTCAGTTTCCTTATCTGTAAAATGGGACGAATACCTGTTTTAAGGAGGGGAAGGCTTTCTTCCATTCCTTTTTGTTTACTTAGTTTGAGTTGTCAAATGGTGCTAATCACAGTATCTACTTCAGAGGGTGGGGAGTTGTGAAAATTAAATTATTTAAAAGGGTAACATGCTAGCTGAATACGAGCCATTAACTGTGGGTTATCCTTATGATTTGACCTATAGTGTCCTTGTACCTATGGCTCTAAATATCTCAACTCCCTGTCAGTGGAGCACAATAATTCTGGACACAGTTTGGGGATAAGATGGCCTGAGCTGCAGTGTGACTCTGGGTTGATTGGTTAATACAATGCCAGTTTCCACATTAATAAAAAGGCAACATCAATTCCCCTCTAAGGCTGTCTTAAAATTAATTGAAATAAAGCAGTGTATGGCACGTACTAAACACTCAGTAAATTAAATTCTTATTCTGCTTACATTGGCGTCCTTGGGTGGCACACATGGTTAAGTGCTAATCTATGAAGCCTAAGGTTGTGCTTCAGACCTGCCCAGAAGCACCTCAGAAGAAAGGCCTGGAGACCCACCTTGGGGGATCACCTTTCAGCCAAGCGGTAGATGGGCCTCGGGTGAACAGTGACGTCAGTGAGGAAAGTGCTGCTCCCAACAGTCCACTTTGCCAGACCAGGCGGGTAGCATTTGTCCAAGAGCAAAGTTCAGGGGGTGGGCAGGGGTAGGCAAGAGGGGCAAATGAAGACGGGGAGTCCAGGGGGAAGTAGTAACGTGCTGTTTAGATTGGGGCATTGCAACTAGGGTCAGAAAACACTCTGTGTACGGTTTTTTTGAACCGTGTACAAATTTGTTGAATGTGAAATTAATGTACTCTGAAATGCTTCAGTCAAATCATGATAACAATTATTTATTTACTATTATTTTCACAAAAAAATGTTTCTTAAAAAGGAGGAGGAGGAGAACGGCCTGGTGATCCATGTCTGGAAAGCCCATCCCTGGAAAGTGTGTGGCGCACAGTTCTCCTCCTCAAGGCAGGGGCCAGTCTGAGTCTGAATCGAATCGATGGCAGCTGGCTTGGTTTGGTTTATTCAGGCATCCAATAGGAGCCCTGGGGATGTAGTGCTTACTCATTGGGCTGCAATCTGAAAGGTCAGCAGCTCAAAAGCGTCAGCTTCTTCAAGGGTGAAAGATGAGGCTTTCTACTCCCATAAAGAGTTACAGCCTCAGACACTCAGAGGGGAAGTTCTACCCTGTCCTATGGGGCTGCGGTGAGGCTGCACCGACTGGAAGGCAGTGAGAGATCACCCGGCGGGATTAATAGAAAAGGAATGGAAGAAATCCTTCCCCTCCTTAAAACAGGTATTCGTCCCATTTTAAAGATAAGGAAACTGAGCTCTGAGCACGCAAGTAGTCACTGCAGAGATGGGATCTGAACAGGGGTAGTTGGGGTCCAGAGACTGTGTGCCTATCCATCACCACGCTGCCTAGAATTAAAGTCAGTCTTGGATGCTCGTGTCTTTCCTAAAGAGTAATGGATTTTCAGTAAGTGAGAGATCATCCCAATAGTAAGATGGAAATGAACTAGCATTCAAATACAAGGGGGGATTTTGCCGAGAGACTCCTCATGTTATATGTAGACATATACAGTAACTTGTGTGTGGAGGGGGTGGGCATTGTTGAACAAAGTCTTTATGGAAGCTACTGAGTTTCCATCAGGTTATGAAAGAAGTAAAAATTATTGAGATCCAAACAGGCTGCTGCTTCTTGTTTTAATTATTGATTGGGATTAAGACATTTAAAAATCAGTCCATAGTTCAATCACATCCAACAGAATTACACTTTTGCTTCCAGATTCCAAGCAGTTTTTTTTCTATTTGAACCCCTTGACGTCATCACCCCTACCCCTGCTCCCACCACCTCTGTGCCCCTCTCTTGCCCAAACCCTTATTCCACTTGCTGACTCTAAGTTCATCGGTCCTGCTTTTCATCCAAACAGGCTTCTTAACTCAGGCATTTGACCTTGTATGATGCTTTGAATACTTTCATCTTCGTTCACTGAAGAATCGTCCAGGAGGCCCAACACGGTGTTTCTTGATCATCTGGCTTGCTTCTCCTTCTCAGTGAGCCCGTGTCCTATGATTCCTAGTGCCCTTCCATTTCAGTTCCCAATCCTGTAAACAGCTGTGGAATTTCCCAGTCCCCTGACAGGCCCTTAGGACTAAGGACTTCGAACCCTGCCCACTTACAGGTTCCTGGGGACAGAAGCCAATGGGGACAGCATTGACAGGACCATGATGTACTACGGGCTGCCTTTTATCCAAGAAGCAGATTTTCCCTTCAACAATCACCTCACCGCGCTTGATACCCCTGGGAACAGCGCACTGAATAAGGTTATCATGTCCTGGATGGAAAACATGCCTGAAGGGAAGTGGCCTAATTGGATGGTAAGTGCTCCCACTCAGCTCAGCCGGCCCTGTGTTGCCGGGCTTGAACAGTCCCTCTGAACCAACAGGAGAATTTCTCTTGTGGTTTGTGTGGTTGGCCTGCTGCTGTTCAGTGCCATCCAGTTGGCTCTGACCCATCGGGATTCTCTGTACACCCGAACAAACCACTGCCAGGTTCTGTGCTAGTCTCACAACTGTCCCTACCCTTGGGCACTGTTGTAACCACTGTGTGCATCCATCTTGTTCAGGGCCTTCCTCTTTCTCCAGGGACTGGCCTCTTCTGACAACACGCCTAAAGTGCGTAACATGAAGGCTCGCCATCCTTGCCTCTGCGGAGCACTCTGGCCACACTTCTTCCAAGACAGGTTGCTTGGGGTTGCCATGGATGGGGCCAATGCAATGGCAGCAAACAGTAACAACAAACGCCCGAGCAGCCCATGAGTCTCTTGAATCCGTGTATCGGCAACTCTACCGTCTAAGGCAGTCACACCCAAACTCACATTCACTGCCATTGAGTTGAGCCTGCCTCATAATGACCCTATAGGACATGGTGAAACTGCCCCTGTGGGTTTCTGAGACTGTAACTCTTTATGGGAGTAAAAAGCCCCATCTTTCTCCCTTGGAGCAGCTAGAGGTTTTGAACTGCTGACCTTGCAGTTAGCTGCCCAACATGTGACTGCCACACCACCAAGAATCCCAATAGCCATCCTAGAGGAAGGGAAATAGTATGTATGTACTTTGATTTTCTTATCACTAATTTGAATGTATACTCATGTGCCTACTGACATTTATGTCTTCTTTGGGGGGAAAAGATGTATATGTGTGTGTGTGTGTGTGTATCTATAAATTCAATTGGGCTATTTGAGTACTATTGAGTGGTAAGTATTCTTTATTCTGGATGTGATTTGCAAGCTTTTTCTCCCATTCTGTGGGTTGTCTTTTCACTTTGATGACGGCTGATTTGTGCTTTGAAACCCTGACGTTTCAGTTATGTTGTATGCAGAAACTCGAGTCCCCAGAGTCTGTGTAAGGTGTTAGGAGCTGGGATGCTAGTCTCACGGGTAGCAGCCCCACTGGCCCCTCGGACGGAGAGAGGTGAAGTTTCGGCCTCCAGCCACAGGGGCAGTCCTACTCTGTCCTAAAGGGTTGCTGTGAGTCCGAATTGTCTCGATGGCAGTGAGTGATGAATGACAGAGAGACCAATTTGATGGCTCCTAACAACAGCTTATTGTGGATTTCTTAGAATTGTTCCATGTAATATCATGCCATTTGTGAATAATGATGGTTTTACCTTTGTTCAATCAGGATGTCGTTTTCTTGCCTCGTTTCCCCAGCTCAGATCTCTAGTAAATGTTGACTAGAAGTGATCACAGAAAACATTCGTCTGGTTTCTTCTCTTAGGGGAACGCATTTGGTCTTTCCACATATATTAAGCATGTTGTTGTAACTGTGGGGGGGTGTTTTGTAGAAACCCTTTATCACCTCGGAGCCCAGGGGGCGCTGTTGAATAAGCATTAAACTGCTAACCACTAAGTTGGCAGTTCAAACCCACCAGCTGCTCTATAGGAGCCAGATGAGGCTATCCCATCCCATCAAGATTTACATCATTGGAAACACGCAGGCCCTTCTACTCTGTCCTATAGGGGCTTTGGGAATCAGCATGGACTTGATGGCAGCGAGTTTGCTTTTGGTCTGGGACTCCTCACAGCTTGTGAGAGGCCCTGCGTATGCCCATTGCTGCAGACTACCTACCTAGAGAGCTGTTCCTGATTTAATTTTGGGATAGAAAGTGACTTATATTCAGAAGACTTCAGAATCATGCGTATGTTGGATGCTCTTAAGACAATGAAAAGAATAAGTTGATGCAAGATTTGACCTAATTCCCTGGATGTAAAAAAAATACCACACAGTAGTGTGCAAAAAAGTGTAAGTGTAAAGTTGTCTTAGTACAAAATGAAACTCTTTCTTCCTAAGTTGTAACACCTTCCCATTCCGGGTTCAAGTTCTCCCTCCTATCGTTATCTTGAATAAATGAGGCAACGTCTCAGAGCTAGTTTTGCCCTTTGTGAAACGTAGTTAACCCTGACAGTCCTTCAGTGGTGAAACAGGTGGGTCCACAACCACACAAACAAACCCACTGCCCCTGAGTCGATCCTGACTCAAACACCCCCCCCACCCAGGGTTCCCACAGTTGTAACTCTTTCCTGGAGCAGACAGCTTCCCTGCCCCCTGCTCCCCACCTCACCCCCATCTCCCACCTCCCAGAGCAGCTGGTGAGCTTGAACCTCTGACCTTATAGTTTGCAGCCCAATACTGACCTGACATCACCACCACGGGCCTAAGGGATGAACTCACTGTGCTATAGGACAGGGCAGAACATTGAACAAACATAGGCTTACAACTATATTTCAAAATCCCTTTCTGGACTACGTAAGTTTCTTTTTTAAATACCGGTTTCTCTTTTAACTGTTTGTTCTGAATGTTTGAAAGTCAAATCAATAAAAAGGGGCATCAGAAGCATTTCTCCCACCTGTCCCCTTGTCCTGCTCTCTGCAGGGGAACACGCGTGTCTCTTTTCCTGTTAGCGTTCTTTGATTCAAAAGTCAGCACATCGGAATATACACACTCCTAAGTTTAATGTTATTTGCCGCATCACTGTGAAGTGCATTGTCAGCACCATCTTGCACCAGGTGATCAGTGGCCAAGACGGTTGGTTACTCAGTTACTGAGCTCCGGGTGCCCACCGCTACCTTGTTTGTCTGCACGGTGCACTTTCTGTGACGTGGCTTTTCCACTCTGCAGAGGGCCATCTGCTTCTCAAACGTTTCTGTCTTTCAGATTGGTGGACCAGACAACTCCCGCTTGACTTCGCGTTTGGGGAAAGAATACATCAATGTCATGAATATGCTTATTTTAACACTCCCTGGAACGCCCATAACTTACTATGGGGAAGAAATAGGAATGGAAAATATTTTGTCTGCCAATCTCAATGAAGTCTATGATGCTGTAAGTTCAGTGCAGTGTGGCCATGTGCTATGGTTATCAAACCAAGGACTTTTCTTGTCTTTCTCCTTCTGATGTATTACAAACTGCCAACTCTCCTGGTAGTGTGGATATGATAAAAATGCTGCTTCCTAGGCCATAGAAGGTAGAGCCCAGGAATCTGCATTCTGAGGATGCTTTCTGGCTGATTCTTATACTGCCCATCTCTTGATTAACAACTTCTGACTCTAGGCAACTCCTGCTTACCATTTACAGTTACATAGATAAGGCCTCACATTGAAATGGCTGAAGCAATCCTCTCTACTCACAACAAATTGGTCACAACCACCTTTATCTGCTGCCCGTGCCGCGAGAAGGCTTTTTAGCCCTTTCTTGTTCTACACAAAGACTAATTAAAACCGTACATACTAATTAAAACAGCTATGTCTGTTCCGACAGAACTACAAATTCTTAAGAAGACACAAGCCCAGGATGTGTATGTGTGTGTGTGTGTGTGTGTGTGTCCCTGAGAATAGGAAGCAAATCCAGGCTCACCCGTCCACCGGACGGTCTGGAATTCAGCATCACTCTATCACGAATGAGGAACGTGAAGAGAACTGGTTAATGGCACATTTAGAAATGCTTTTTAGATCAAGGGAAAAAAGCAGCAAAGATCACCAGCAGGGATGAGGGGAATCACATAGCTTTATGTAATTGAAAGGTAATGGAATTTTCCTCTGAACTTTTGGAAGACCTCGCATCTCTTAAGTTCAGTTATTATTGTGTTTAAATCTTAGATAGGATTATTTCCAATTATGTATCAACAGTTAAAGTATTTTCCCTGTGTGTGCTATGAAAACAAGCACTGCCTAACAGATAATTGGTAATTAAATGATTATTAAGTCAGTGTATCAGGGCCAAGTTCTATTTCTTTGAATAACCAGACCTTTTTGTTTTCTTTTTTAATGTTTTTTTTTTTACATAGAATACACTCCTCTCAAAGTCACCAATGCAGTGGGACAACAGCTCAAACGCTGGTTTTTCTGAAGGCAATCACACTTGGTTACCCATCAGTGCGGATTACCACACTGTGAATGTTGATGTAAGTACCACTGAGACACGTGAGCGGATTCCAGGCACTGTAAGTGGGCTTCTGTACCGACAGCACCCCCCCACCCCCAGTGCCTAAACCTTAACAGATAACCTTTCAATCAATCACAGACTTCTCTCGCAATTTTGTTTGTAATCATGCCTTTGTGAAAAAGCCGACTGGCATTTACCAACTGAAGACGCATGCAGAATAGGCACTCGTCATAGAAATGACCTCTAGTAAGACTTGAGCCATGAAGATGAAAACAAGGCTTTCCACGAGTCTAGCCCCCTCAAGAGGAGAGATGGAGCGGGAGGCAAGGAGCGCAAACAGTGGAACAAATTCCAGGCCTTGTGCACTTGAGAATGAGCTGTTAATCTGAAAGAAACAACAAGTAGCAATAAAACCACAAGAACTAAAGATGTGAATACCCCTAAAGGCACTGTTCTGATAAAGCACAGCCTGTAGCTTTAATAATCAAGTTTTGACACATTTCTTAATAAATCGCAGTGTGTAAATTCCTCCCAAATGCTAAATAGATCTCAGTGTGCATGCTATCAAAACAAGCAATAGCTGACCAGGGGAGTGGGGAGGCTTCAGGTGAGAGTCAGGTCACCATCATGCAATCCTGAAAATGACACTGGACAACACAATCTAAACCGACTTAGGGGCGAGACACTACTGGCATGTTCTTCACCTGTAAGTATTTCCAAACAACTTCCCAGGTTATCTCGATGCACAATTCCACACCATTATATCTTCTGCCCACTGCTCCCTGCCCATGCACCACTGAGAGGTGCTCAGTGTAAATTCATTGATAGCTTTGTGGGTCACAGGAAGCACACAGTGTGTGTTTAACATTTCTGTTACAGGCTAAGTGCATGCACTGGTTTTCATTATGCCCAAAATGTTCCCATAGACCAATCCATGTCTAATGAGAAATCACTCATCAAAATGCACAGCAGCACACACAGAATAATGTAAAGGCAGATTAAAACACACATTCCCTAGTAAATTAAAAGTCACAACAGGTAGGTATGGAGATATTTAATAGCAGACAAAATAGAATTCCATATGAAAAGCATTATATGAGACAAAGGCAATATTAAAAATTTGATAAAAGAACTTTTCACTAAAATCATAAATCTTTATGCATCTAACAACAGCTTTTAAATAAGTAAGACAAATAATCCGGGAAATGGACAAACCCACAACTACAGAGAAGGACTTCAACAGACTTGAAACTGACAAATCAGAGGTAATAAAACGAGGCGCTAACAGTTATAGGGCACTTCTTATCTGAGTAGCACTGAACTGTGTGCTTTACATGCATTACCTAAGGCTATAGAAAATATTAATAACAACGCTGACAAGTCATATACATGTACCATTAATGCCGGTGACATGGATACAGAATAAACATTTTTTTCCAAACATTCATTAGATACTCAATAAAGACCATATATTAGGCAGCCACCTACAAACAAGTTCACTCCCCACCCCCCGACTAAACACGGCTGGCAAGAATACAATAAAATGAACATCACTGCTGATTTGGCAACAACACTTACGAATACGAATTTGGAATTGTCCATCAAGTGTCCGTACACTTTGGTCTTTTTGTAACTTCTTTTCTGATAAACTCTTCTATAGAAATCATCAAAACATATGAGGGAAGGCGACCCTGAACACACACGAAGGTGCTGCTGACTCTTGAGTGCTGACATGAAAGGGAGTCACTTTAGGTGTGGCCTACGCCAGTACTGCCAGTACAGTGACACGATGGAGGCCACGTACGGGGACAAGGCCAAAAATGTTGAGAGGAAAGCAAAGAAAACATAAACAGCAATAAAGCACACTCGATATAGTGGTAAAATAAATGGAAAATCTTTTTTAAATGGACACACTGCTTTGTAGCAAAAAGTTTTACATCTATAATTTCTAACTTTGACTTTAAGCAGCTTTTTACTTTGCATCTCTTTAATGTAACAGCTATGAAGAAATCCACATCTGATGAAGTCACAAGATCTTTGCACAGGGGCAGCCTACGTAATACCCTACAGAGAACCGATAAGCAGACATCAGAAATTCTTAAGAGTCCCTGGACATAGTGGCTGCTTTCTACCCAGGCATTTGGCAGTACAGTGTGACAGGCAGGGAGTGTGTTTAGGCAAGTTAAACAGACAGTGACTTACACCCGGGGGCTTCGGGCGTCCCGGTACGTGAATGCTGGTCTCCACAGCTGCTCTGGCTGAGGTGCAGCAGAAGGTGATGCACTTGAGGGGACCCCGGATCTGCAACTGTCGGTCTGTACATGAGCAGATTCGTATCTGCTTCCTAACGGTTCTAATTTGGTTATTTATTCAGGGGGTAAAATTGATACTTTTTTTAGGAGTTATAGCCCTAGTAGATACTAAAAAATCTTTTAAAAAACATGATTTGAATCAAATTAATTTAGGTAAATAACCCTGATTTTTTTCCCCCCTTCAACAGGCCCAGAACACTCAGTTAAGATCAAGTTTGAAGCTGTATCAAGAACTAAGTTCACTTCATGCTAATGATCTGCTGCTCAGCAGGGGCTGGTTTTGCCATGTGGGGAACACGGGGGACGATGGCCGTGTGGTTGTGTACACGAGAGAGCTGGACGGCTTGGACCGAGTCTTGGCCGTGGCTCTGAATTTTGGGGAGTCAACATCAGTGGTAAACTTAGCAGCGATGATGTCGGGACTTCCCGCCACGGTGCACATCCGCTTAAGTACCAATTCTGCCATCGAAGGCAGTGCCCTGGACACCAGTGCCATCAAACTGGACAAGGGAGACGGGCTCATCCTTGAATACAATACAAAGACCTTCCTTCATTACGAAGCAGCTCTCCGAGACAGGTGTTTCGTGTCCAATCGGGCCTGCTACTCCAGCGCGCTGGGCATACTGCACAGCTTGTGTTAAGCACCTCTGCGCTCCAGATGGGGACCCTGGCACACACGCTTATCACAAGCATTTGGTCACCTCCACCCACCAGGGGACGTCACAGAGGTCGTGGAGCCAGGGAATGGAAAGAGAATGGACTTCCCCATGGATGTTTTGAAGCCCCCTTATATAGCTTTCTTTCTGCTGAGTAAACCTTATGAAGACTCGTCAAGAAACTTACGATATTTCAGTAGCTTGACTACAAATGCTTAAGAAAGGCTCTCAAATGTTCTTAAATAATAATAAAGTATTTAAAAGAAAGTGATCCCTTGCAGGAACATATACGTTCACTGAAACAGCGTCGCTAAGAGGATCAGAATGCCTTAGAGCCCAGCTTACTTCAAAGATGTGATACATTTAACGTGAAGATTATCTTTTTTCTTAAAATCGAGTCATAGAAAGTGGGAGGATGACCCACTCCTACAATGCTACAGAGCTAAAAAGGCTCACTGGTGAAGAGGTGGCGGGAACATTGATTTAGAAATGGTTCCAGGGAAACAGACAAAACCAAAAAGCTCTTCTGACTGGGAGGGCCACACCCAGAGCCCCGAGGCCACCCACCCCTCCTCCCTTGCTCCCTAACCTGTGCCCTTTGAAGGTGCAGGGTTTGAAAACTGATTTCATTAGGTTTAGGGCGTCAATAGATAGAACAGTATCAACAAGTGAGATCTAAACTAAGATTAATTTAGGTAAAGTAGCAAATTTTAAAAAAGATTACTTAATAACTGGAAAAAAGAATCTCACTTTGCTAATGCAATGACGAGAAAGACGGAAATCTTTCAGCATGTTTCCCATGCTTAGTTGGTGGTGGTGGTTCAGAATTTTAAGTATTTCTTAAGGTCCTCAAAAACATTGGTGCTGTCCAGTCCAAGCTCCTCGTACAGGAATTTAATTTGGGCTGTAATCTAAAAGAAACACATGTGAAATCAGACGGATGGCATACGCAGTCAAGTTCTTGTGTCTATCCATCTTCATTTAACCGGAAGTCAGCAATCTATGGTGAAGGTACTTTGACTCAGGGTATGGGCAGAAGCTCCCAGCAGTTAAGATTCTATTCCAGGCGGCCCTTGAACAGCACGGATTGGAACTTCATGGGTCTACTTGTGTGTAATTTCCCCCCAAAAATGCCCTAGGATCCTAATCTTCTCTGTGTGAGCAAGTAAAAAGTGATTAAGCTCATTTCTTGTGTGTTTTTCATCGTGTCTACTGCAATGCCACAAACCTTGATGGGCACGCCAGGGCCATACAGGGAGCCACTCGGTGACTGCCGGAAGTGCTCCCGAGGAGAACAGAGAGGTCATGGCATGACAAGGAAACGTGGACTCGCTCGCTTTGTACTGTACGCTGAGGGCTGCAGCTCGAGCCATTTAGGAGAAATTCATCTGAATTCATAAGAATCATGATAATTTAAAAAAGAAAAAAATGGAAGTTCGTGAAGTTGCTCATGCAGCTATGCCAGCAGGCACAAAAACCTTGCCTTTTTGCAAAATGCCTTTTGTCTCAGATCCAATATGTAGCTTTTGAGTGAGTGTAGTTGTAATCCATAAGACTTCACAGTAGGCTGTTAGTAGTTAAGTATTTGAGAAGTGGAAAGTTATACCCAGGTTTTCAATGGGGGAGGGGAAAGGGGGAAGCTGTCTTGCTGCCCATGCTACTCAAGGGTTATTGTTCTTTCAACAGGGCTCACTCACCAAGTACGTGCCTCTGCCCTTGGCTGATCCCTGTCCCTGAGCCCTCCCACTGGGCTCAAACAGTTCACTGTAAGGTGGCTCTGCTGTAAAGCACACCTCTACTCAATCTGTCAACTGAGGGGGACTTCGAAACATACCTTTTTGTGAGAATCCTCAATCACATGATTGCCTCCTGGCTGAATATCTAAAGTAATATTGGGGACCTGGTAACCTGGAAAAGTTACATACAACACAATCAGAAGGTCCCTGGTTCAAGAGGATTGACTGACAACCCTTTCTCCCCTCTCCTTCCTACTGCTACAAAAATAATAGCAAAAGAATAAAAGCAGAAACCACAGCCGCCGCCACCACCAATGAAGGCCAAGGACCCCACGCCATACTGAGGAGACACAGTTGTGAGCCAGAAGGGAGCCACTGGCCCTGTGGCATCCGAGTCCTGGGGGGAGGGGACACCACCCTCCGCGATGGGCGGAAGGAGACACAGAGATGAGCATAAGGTGCATGGGCCCTTCCCACTCCAAGCCCAAGACGGCGGCGTGGCTTGCAGTGTCAAGGAAACGGAGAATTCTTGTCCAGTGAAATGGACGGAACTCGGGAGAAAAAGCAAGTAGCTAATTTGGACATCGAGACGTCTGAGTAAAAACCTCAGACTCTGTCTTGTACAGGTTTCCAGGAATAATGGCTCAGTAAATAATATTGCTGAATAAGTGAATGTCTAACAGTTCCATCCCTGAGCTCATATTTCCTTTTTTTCTAATTTGTGCCCTGCCTACCTCCTTTTAACCCTGTAACGCAGGGTTTAATTGTAATATATACAATTAAATGTATATATTAGTATATATTGATAACTATGAAAGAATAAAAACAAAAAAATTTCCCCCCTGAAATTAAAAATTCAGCCGTTATAGGGTTAACCCTATCCTTTGAAAAAGAGGTAAGTCAAAAAAAAAAAGAAAAAGAAAAAGAAAAAGAGGCAAAGCAGCCGTGCTTATTCTGTATTAGCTGTGAGCAGGCAGGCAAGGAGGAATCTGCTCTGTCCCCGCCAGAGGTCAATGAGATTACATGGACGGCATCTTTCTAGGCAGTGTGCGAGGAGCCACGGTCCTTTCTGGGCTGTCTCCTACCTTCGCCCGTGTTCTTGGCATGCTCAGCGGTGGCTTCCCTGAGCTTCTCCGTGTAGCTCACGATTCCTTTCAGAGGGACCCGCTCATCGTTTTCGTACGCTGTGATGTGAAGCGCAGGGTAATGCTAAAAGAAAGCACGTGCACAGTTTATTCCCCGCGCTCCCCTGTCATCTTACAGATCACAAAACTAAAAACTGCCATTTCCCCGCCGAAGCACTCAGAGATGTTCTCCTTTGACATTCTTCCAAGTCCTGTAGCTTACAGCAGAAGACCAGGGCGCTGAGCTGGTTCATTCTGCTTCCACTGGACCCCACCCGTGGAGAATTTGCCTTTTCACTGGAGATGAACGGAATCAGATCCGCTGTTTAATAACAAGCTCCTCGGGATTCGTACATGTCCCTGAGGAATTGCCTGGGGTCCTAGTTACAATGCACAGCTGGGTGGAGGGTCTCAGGAGCGAGTCGAAAGAGCAGGAACCAGTGCGAAGTCCTGAAGATTCTGTGTTACTTGGCACAGCCTGTTCTTGAGTGGCTGTGACCTGATGTGACTTTGTAACGAAGGCCTGGCAGCTCCGTGCCAGGCCTCAAACAGCAGCACCCAGTGTTAGCACAGATGGTGCTCAAGGAAGACTAACTATCACAAGAACAAAAATACTACATCCTACTAGCGCCTGCTTCAACTCAAGTATCTTTTTAAAAAAACCCAAAATCTACCACTTCCGGATAGCACAGCTGTGTTACCTGAGGTTTAATATTTTGATAGGGGCAGTAGCGTTTTATGTAGTTCTTGTGTTTTTCATCAGATGACGGATTCCCCCATTCCTCCAGTTCTTCCAGTGTCAGAGGAAGTGTCGTATCCAACATGGTGTTGAGAACATCCAAGAAAGGGGCCTGAAAAAGAGCCACGGAGACGAAAACGCTAAGAAATTGGGGAAACAGGTCTCAGCTGACGACTCCTCTCTGACTGGACGTGCTGAGTGAGGACAGAGCTCACCGCCAGGCTGAGTCCCGGGAACCCGGGTGCTCGCTCAGGGCTTGGATGACATCTGTATGAAGGTGGGTTTCCTTCGAATTCCACAGTTTACAATTTTCATTTGAGCCGTATCATATATATTTATCTATATTTACCGCCACCGAGTCAGTGCTGACTCACAGTGACCCTATAGTAATAAATCATGATTGAATACAATCTGGAAACACCCAGGCTGCAGAAAGGCACAGCTACTCGCTGGCCCCGTGGGTGGCCGACGTGGGTGCAGCGCGGGCCTCCTACGACAGCAACAGGGCCAGAGAGGACTTTCTAGGCCGTGCCCTTTCCTGGAGCTGACTGCCCGGTCTTTCTCCCTCGGGGCAGCTAGGTGGATTCGAGTCCTAACCACCGTGCCACTTGGCCTTCTTCACTAGCTCATAACGAATGTCGAATGAACCAGAGGTTGCTGCTCACTGAGCCTTATACAGTTTCCCCTCATATAAATGTTAACCTAGTGGGCATCTGCCACCGTTTGGCTGCTTAGCACTCCTCTTCAACCTGAGGATCAGAGCCTGATCCTCCGAGGAAGCACCGAGTGTCCCAAACTGCCTGTGCTGGCTCTTCTGCAGCGTGGGGTGCCCACGGGGCTTTGGTCTGCCAAGCAGACAGGTGCACCCAGACTCTGAATGGGATGTTAGTGATTCACAGAATAGGGATGCCACAGGATTGATTCTAGCAACAGCCTGTGCTGTAGCTGCACCCAGTTTCTAGAAGTGGCGGTGGCAGCGTGAGATGTCTTGGCCCAGTGGTGGCTCTTCCCTGGGCCAGTATGATGGTGCGGTTTGCCCCTCTCTGACTGTACATCCTCTGGTATGTTTTCAAAGCCTAGAAATATTTTAAGCTTATTCTGAGTGGGGAACCTAAAAGCCAATAACCACAAATCCAGGGCTAATGTGTTGATGGGCCAGAGAAGGTCAAACTGAGCCAAGAGCACAGGGTGTTCCAGAATCAGTGCGCACCCCCCCCCTCCCCAGCACTGGGGAGCCAGATATGCTTCTTCTTTTCCCCTCTCAGTTCCTAAAGGTCCCTACAAGTCAAAACTGAGAGCCATTAGCATCTTTCTGTAGAAGTTGTTAGAAATCAAAGAAAATTGTAAAGGGAGAAAAAATGAAGGGTCAAGACTTGGGTTACATACCTTTAGAAGTTCTCCTCAAGTTAGAGAAAGGTTGTAAGCACAACTATAACCTTTAAAAGCTTTGTTAACAACCTCCCCACCCCCACCCCTCCCCGGCTAGGTTAAGCCTGTCAGAGAATACTTTTTCTTAAGAGTGCCCTCCGGAGTCCCGCCTCCCTCTCTATACATGGTAGCTTTGATGTACTCACCTCCAAAGTCACGGCTCTCAGGAGCTCTGGGGCAGAATTACACAATGCTCCCACAAGCACCCCTCCAGCACTGAAAGCAGTCAGGGTTGTTAGACTTGGCTGAGAAAAGCCTTGGCCATGAAGCGTCTTAATGCAAGCCTCTAAGTCAGCAAGGCCATTGAGTTTTTTAGTTAGCCGGCCATCAGCGTGCCACTGGAGGCCTAACTCACCACCACCCCTGAAATTGAAGGGCAAAAAGGTTTTAGCAAGAAAGAGACACACACAGATTAATGACACAGATAAAGGTCAGAAAAAGCCCGTGGGCTGAATCCATCCACCCATGTTTTTTTCTGGTGCTCAAGCTAAGAATGGTTTCTACATTTTGGGAGGAGCAGAGAAAACCATCAGCAGCCACCACAGGTGATAGAGACCATTTGCCCAGAAAGATGCCCTGTTTACTACCTGGCTCCTCACTAAAAAAGTATGCCGATCTCTTGTATATAGAGCCATTCAAAAATTGATGTAACAAATAAGTTTCCTCAGTGCCCGCCTACAAGCAGATATTATGCTAAATGCTTTGAAATACTCTGGGAAAAAATAATTTTGTGGGCAAAGATAAGAAAGAAAAATGAGTTATCAAGCAGTGCCTTTTCTGCCATAATGTATTTAAGGTGTTATAGAAGGGAAAGAAATCCAGCTGCCAGGTTGGGGGCATGTACACAAGTGAGGATCACAGACCAAGGGAGATAATTCCCAAACTGGGCCTCAAAGGAGAAATGTGAGTTCTCAGAAGAGCCAGGTGAGGGAAAGCAGCAGCAGGTATGTGCAAAGGCACAGAGGGGAAGGATCACGCCACTGGACAGGAGGCGGCAAGGCTGGATGTGGTGGCTACGTAGGACTGCAGGACAAGTGTGGGAGTGTAATGGGACTACAGAGATAGGCCAGGTCATGAGGTGAAGATGGGGGTGTGGTGGAGAATAGTAAGCAGTGACATAAAATTTATGCTGACTCAGAAATCCCTTTACTAGGAAGAGAAGTCAGAGAACACAGAGATATGCACACCCATGTTCACTACAGCAAGAGGAAAACAAGGTAACTGTCAGCCAGTGGAAGAACGGATGAAAAGACTGGTGCGTACACACGAGGGAAGGAAGACCAGGCACCGTTCAAGGTGAGTGTCACGGTGAAGCTTGGGTGGATTTGGAGGACATTATATGCTGAGTGAAGTCAGTCAATCACAGAGGAGTAGATATTGTATGAGACCACTGATGAAAAAAAAAAAAAGAAGATAATCTCATGCCCAAAGAAACAGACTTTGAGAGCTACCGAAGGGAAGGAGGTGGTGGATAGGTGTTAGCTAGGATGACGGGGAAGATATTGTTCTACAAGAAGAGAGGGGGATGATGGAAAGTAGACAGATTAAGTACTGGGAGGTTGTTTAAAGGGCTGGATATAAAACTGATGACATAGAAATGTAACTCCCTACCTAATTCATCAGAGTTAAAAAATCATATTTATATCTTGGAAACAGCTCAAATAGAAGGAAGTTAAGACTAGAGAAAAGAAGACCAAGTAGCTATTACAGAAGCATCTACACTGAGAAGAGGTAAGTGGAAACAATATCATTTTAAGTGATTATAGTGACAGATACATCTATTTAAAAATCCAAATAATATACATTTTTGTTTTGGGGGGATCACCTGTCACCACCAGCACAGTTTTAGATGTACACAAATTCCACAATACAAATGAGAAAGCAAGCTTTTGCCTCCTGCTCCGTGGTGATCACAGACATTTGTCACAATGTGCGACTGCTCCCCCAGCAGGTGCAGACTCACCGAACGTGGCAATATGCTAAGATCCATCCATCATCAACCAACACTCGTCTTTCAGGTCTGAAATTCATTTTCAAATCCATCCCATAGGCCCCATACACATGTACCAGGAGAGGCTTCTTCTGCAAGTCTTCAGAGTCCGTTTTGTGGAAAACGGTCATCGGCACTAATTTTCCATCCTGGAAAAGAAGAATTACTACATGTGGCGAGAGGAGTCTTTACAAGCAATTGAATCCCCAATTTAAATAAAGTGAAACACACCACACCCACCCTCTGCTTACTAATGCTGAACACAGAGTTCACTTCAGACGAGCGCGCTTTGGTCACAGATTTATTGTGGCCTCATTTTTAGCTACCTCACGGACCTCGATTGCAAACGAGAAAAGAATGGCAAGACTCTGGACTGAAAACATTTTATTAAAGGCAGCTCTGCGTGACAGTAACGTGATGATCAAGAGTCCTTTACGATCCACTACTACTGCTCGTTTTTCCCTCCTCGAACAAGCCCGAAACACCTACCACTTTGAGGAATTTTGGCAGAGCATTCTTGCTACTAGTAGGATTCGACGGCCATTTCTTAATTTTGACTATTCACCAATATGCTGACGAAAAGAAAGCAAGGTCTTTAGGCAGGATTTTCTGACTCATTTCTGTCCTTTTTCCTCGGGATTTTCAACTCATAGAATATTTTTCACTTCTCTGTATAGTCATTCATAAAACTTGTAAATACATTTCAGTAAAATATGTTTAGACTTTCCATTTCCCTGCTTTGTCCCCAACTTCCATTCTACCGTGAGAGAAGCCCTTGTTGGGGAAGACTTGTGAAAAGGTAGGGGCAGAGCTGGTAGCAAGCCCTGGGGCAGGAGCCACCCAGCTCATCGCCGGGCGGCTTCCATGATGTAGTCCCTCTGTGGTGCAAGCAGAGCACGTTTCTCAAAAGCAAGGTCTCACCCGTCCTTCTGGAACAGGAGCCACCGAGAGCCCGGGAAGCACAGCTGCACTCTGACCACGTGGGTCACTGTCATCTAGAGTGGCCCCTTCCTTTCCTTTCGTTGCCCCACGGCATCCCCAATGTTCATTCCTTTGGTACACAATAATCACATTTCGTGGTCATGGTAATCTCCCCTCCCATGTCAGTATAATCACATTTTGATAGGCTGATATTACCCCATGTTTTGTAGAAAAACCAAAACCCACAAAAGAGTATATGCTTGTCCCCGCCCCCCCAAAGTCCCACAGTCAATACACCAAGTTATTCATGGTTATTTCTCGAGGTGCAGCAAATGGAACTAAAAAAGCCATCTATTAAACTTACACATTTCTGTACTTTTGCATACATTCTAACAAGCATGCCTTGCTTTTGAATATTACAAGTGTTATGTGCTTAAAGAGATTTAATGAAAATCAGTGAGTTAAGATACGTTCATTTAACACGAAAAAATAACAAATCTGTGAATCAGCTCAGTAACGGAGTCATCACAGGATGAGCGTGAAGGACATTATCCTGAGTGAACTGAGTCCATCACAAAAGGACAAGCAAGACAGGACACCACCACTGTAAACAATCAAGACGAGGCCTCCACACAGAAAGAACCATTCTTTGAAGGCTACCAGGGATGGGAGGAGGAGCCAAATCACTGACTACTGTGCACACACCTGGATGTGGGCATAAGCTGGAGGTCAGCACAAATGAACAAGGCAAAGGAAGACCCTGGGAAGAGCCACCAAACCGAACTTGCTGCCAGCTCGTCAATGCTGACTTGCAGGGAGCCCCGGTGGGTTTCCGAGACTCTGGTTCTCAGAGTAGAAAGCCCAGTTTTTCACACGTGGAGCTGCTGGTGGTTTTGAACTGCTGACCATAAGAATTGCCATCTAGTGCGTAACCACTACACCACCAGGGCTCCTACTGGGAGAAGCACAGAATTAAAAACAACAAAAGCAAATACTATATTACAGACCCAATCTTGCAGTAACAGTAGACACAATAATCTCCTGGTCAATATACAGATGTGACACTCAAGCTCAAAGGGAGGGAAGACCGAGGGTTCAAGGAGAACATGTTTTGGAAATCATGATGGCAGCCTATGTGCAAATATGCTTGATACAACTGATGTAGGGAATGTTATAGACGCTGTAAGAGTCCCCAATAAAATGACTTAAAAAAAATGGGGGGGAAGGCAAAAGGGACTATGCCCATGAATAGTTTGAAAGAGGTTGTTTCTATTTACGTGTGTATAAGCTCTGACAACATACCCATGAATGTGGCAGAACATACAAAGGCTACAGTGATGAAAATGCTTAGCCTAGACTCTCGGCCCTAGAGTAGCGGTTCTCAACCTGTGGGTCACGACCCCCTTGGGGGTCAAACGACCCTTTCACAGCAGTTGTCCAATTCATAGCAGTATTAAAATGACAGTTATGAAGTAGCAATGAAAATAATTTTATGGTTGGGGGTCACCACAACATGAGGAACTGTATTAAGGGTCGCGGCATGAGGAAGGTTGCGAACCTCTGCCCTCGAGGCTCAGGACCATAGCGTCAAGCGACAACAAGGTTAGTTGGTGGAACACAGTCGACAGACAGTATTCGTAGATGAGGCACTGCAGTCCCCACGCCCTGAGACCAGAGGAAGTACACAGTGCCTAGTCAGCTGGCTGACTCGCTCTGAAAGAGATCACATAAGAGGTCTGGAAGTGCGAGAAGAACATAAACAAAATCCAAAACATCCAAAAGACCAGGTCTGATAGAAGTGGTGGTGCTCCGTAGGCTATAGCATCGGTCATCTTTCAGGTCTGAGACAGAACTCGCTCCCGGGGCTCAACTTTCAGGCCCCTGACAGGCCCGTAGAGTGGGCAGTCCCACCAGGGAGGCCTTCGTGCCACAGAACAATCAACCGTACCAGATCCACAGAGCAGCACTGCCCAGAGATGACCTCAGCGGGCAGGAAGGGGAAGGGAAGGAGGCCGAATGGACGCTGCTAGCATGCGGAGGAAGTGGGAAGAATCCTGTTCCATTGTGAGGGCTGCGATCAGTGCCACAAAACACAGTGTATGAACTGTTGGGTGAAAAACATCTTGCTCTGTAAGCTTTTACCCCAATCACAAAAGAAAAACATACACCAGGGGACTTCAAATAGTTCCTGGGAAAACTCAATTTTCCCATGAATATTTTGAATCTCTTTGTGTATCATATATTAAAACAACAATAACAATAAAAGCAGGTAAAACAGGCCTGTGGAAATACACTCTCAAAACGTGAGATTTTATGATATCAGATATACTGATGTCATAAAAGTCCTTAAATTCAAGGCCACAATTCATACACACACATGCTTCATTCTGTACATTGGGTATTCCTGGAATATAAATTACTTATTTCCGTCTCCACCTCTGCTCACTCACCCCTAAATCTCCCATCTTTAACTATACTTTTTGGGTGTATTTGACTTCTTTGCACTTTTTGAAGGCACATCTCCAGGGCCTGTGCACAAAAATGCTGGAGCCGTGGTGATGTTGCACTGGGCTGTGATCCACAAGGTCAGCAGTTTGAAAGCACCAAGGATTTCTACTCCCATTAACAGCGACAGTCTTGGCAACGCACAGGGGCAGCTCTACCCTGTCCTATGGGGTCACTATGAGGCAGCATTAACTCGGTGGTAGTTGAGTTTGGGTTTTTTTTTGTCTGATACAAAAACATTCCCTTTCAAAATTAGTCTATTCATCCTAGAGCTCCTACCTGAATGACATCCCTTTCACAGAGAATCCTTCTCTGATCTCTCCAAACTAGAGAAGGTCCGTTGACCACATGCTGCACTATGTTCAGTATCTCTTTCTCGGCGGCAGCACGTAGTACTCTAGTGATGATGTCATCAGATGTCCTCCACCCTGACGGAGTCAAGCGCCATGGGGAGCAGACAGTACAAGTCTCGTTCACTCCAGTAATTTTAAAAGTGTAGTTTAAATGAAAATCAGAACAAAACAAAGAGCCCTCAAACCAACCCTAAAGCCATTGAGATCTTCTGACTGAACGTTATTTGGCACAAAGTACGTTTGGGGCAGAGTTGGGTTGAAAGTAGCGAAGACAGACGTACCTTACTCTTGGCTTCCAGACGTAGGACGCGGCTCGTCTTTGTGATCGGGTCTTCATGCCCTGTTTCCTCAAAGAGCTTGCCTTCTGCGAACTTGTATGTGTAGTATTTGGGGGGACGTATTGGAGAGCACAGTTGAAAGGGGCAGTTCTTTGGGTCAGAATTTGTATCTATTATGAATCCACAGGCCCAGGGAGGGAGCTAAGGGAAGAAAGTAAGTTATTTTTACTCCTTCTGGAGACTCTGAGAACCCTTCATTCCAGCCAAGTCTGTGCTAAACAAGATGATGTGAACAGCAAGTCCACCTGTACCCAAATAACACCATGCCTCAGTTAGAATTACTTCACCACAATATATTTCAAGTGAGAAGTATACAAAATTCACATCATGACCAATGAAATAAAGAAAAATGATAGAAAACGGTGTCATGATAGATTCACATGAAATCTCTTTTTAGTAAGAAAGTTTACCTTGAGATAGAAACTTGGGCAAATGTAATAGCAAAGTGGTTCAGAGTAAGCACAAATCAAATGGTAATTATGGACCCCGGTGACATCGCAAAGATCTGTTATCCGAGCACATGAACTCTGGCACGCGCTTTTAATACGTTTCCCACCAGCACTGATCCTGCTGCCTGGACAGCCAGAGCGATGACAGTTATTATTCCAGGGCTACAAACCAGCGCAGCAGCACAATCGCATCTACAATCTGTTGCCAACGTTAGCTCCCAGGCTAACCATTGTGCAGAACAAAACCTTTCGCACACATCCACTCCGAGAGACTCGGGGCTATTGTGCATACGATTCTTAACTCTAAGGCAAAAGGAAAGGAATCAAAATTTATTCTCTTAGAGCAGCAGGGTCCAGCTTCAAGCCTTCCACTAACGTCTCTCTTATACCTTTTAACGAGGTCTGGTAAGCAGGTCGACAGAAGGCTAGAAAGGGTCCTGAGAATCAGAACATTAAAAGAAAATTGCCTCCTTTTCCTGAGTAATTGGAGAAATAGCAAATTCCTTAGAAAATCAGAGGGCTTGGTTCAGCAGCGTCACTGGGGCACCGTTCAACAAAGGTAGGTGGGGGATAATACACGTGTAAGGGTCATCATGTCACCTACAGATGCTGGGACATTACTTCTAATTAATCTAAAGAATCTATTTCCCTGAAACACTAATAAAGGCACACATTTGCAAATTGTTTCGAAAGAGAGCTCTTAATTTATTCCCCTCTAATTGGGGATTATTTTAAAGGACAGTTTGTCTACCGCAGTGGTTCTTAACCTTCCGAATGCTGTGAGCCTTTCATACAGTTCCTCATGTGGTGGTGACCCCCCCAACCATAACATTATTTTCGTTGCTACTTCATAACTGTCCTTTTGCTACTGTTATGAATCGGGCAACCCCTGTGAAAGGGTCGTCCAAACCCCCATAGGGGTCGAGACCCACACATTGAGAACCGCTGGGCTAAAGCAACGTAAGCCAGCACTGGAGACAAAAATAAGTGGGAAACGGACCCAAGAGGCAAGCGAATTTTGGGAATGATGAGGGCAACAAATGTATAGATGTGCTTTACACAATTGATCTATGTATTCTGATGAATTGTATGAGCCCCAATAAATTGATTAAAAAAAAATTCAATAAAAGTTTTTACACTAGAATAAACAAACAAACAAACAAAAAAAAGTGGGAAACGGAGGCCTTATTCACACAGAAGTGAGGGGCCCCACTGGGCACTGGGGTCTGCAGCCCATACAGGCCCGTTTTCCTGCCCTTTGGTGAGGCGCTGGGGCAGTTCTCTGGGATCCAGGCAGTGAGCTGTCTTAGCTTTAGAAGACCAAGTTGAATCAATGTTTTTTGGGTGTATTTATAAAACTAACGGGATCAAGGTTAAGGTATTAATCACAACAAAGACTGACGCAAGGCTACGGACTTTTGAAAAGTTTGTCCAACTGATGTAGAAATAAGTTATTAACGACCTCAGGGACGTATGAAGATACATGTCCTACTGAGATAAGCCTGCCGTATCATCTATGAGTAAACAGGAATACTTGTGAAGTTGGCCAGGTCCTAAGATACTAGACAGAAAAGGGGTTGAGCTTCAGCAAACCCCAAATCAAACCCACCAGTCAACTCCAACGTGTGGCGGGCGACTCTGTAGGGGGGAGTAGAAAGGCCCTATAGGCTTAATCTTTTATGTCACCACACTGTTCTCCAGAGTGGCTGGTGGGTTTGAACGATTGACTTTTTGGTAGGCAGTTGAGCACTTTAACCACTGTGCTACCAGGGGACTCTTTAATGAGTTATGTATTAATAATTAGGACATGCCATGGTGAAAAGAAATTAACTTGAGGATACAGAATCCACCTTCAAATGAAACTGATGTTTGAACGAAGTGAAAAAGTCCCCAACTGCTTAGACAGTAAATACCAAAACTTCTTTATTGGGAGAAGAAAAAGAGACTCAGAGAACATACTTATAAGCCAGGCCAGGAGGTACAGGAAGGGTTTTACATTCCTACTGCTGAGACTGAGTTTTAAAGTTCTCTGGTCAAAGATACAGAACTACTCTGGAACCCACCAGGGTCCGGCTAACACCCTTTGCGTGTGCTGTGTTTATCAGTGTGTTGTGGTTCGTGAAGGACAAGGTTTGAGCCATACAAGTCTCTAAGGAGCACGTGACATATCTAATTCTTGTGGATGAACATTATACAAGCCAAAGGACCCCACAGATCAGGGAAGGGGCAAGGAACGAAGAGTTAGAAATAGACAATACAGTCAGTTTAAATACTCTAACGGAAGCTCAAACCACACACACAAAAAGAGGCACATCTTTAGATCAGGGATGTGTATACAAAATATAAGTGGTCATTTTACTCAGAAGTCAAAGATAGTAAGCTACAATGGGTATTCTTAGTTTTCATGACATAGAATTTTGTTGTAATAACTACACTGCCAACATTTATGCCTCTCCCACCCCTACTGACAGGGTACAATGAGACTACAGCAAGTGTCACTCACTGAGACATCCCGATTTCTAGGGCTGGAGCACATCTGCTCCTAGGACTTCTGAGACAACACACCTGCGTGGGAGCAGACAATCTCCTTGTTCTGTTGTCCAGTGGCTGGGGCTTACTAACTGACCTTTCGGCTAGCAGCTCAATACGAATCGCATTACACCACTATTCTACGAGATGTCTGACTCCGACATTGACGAGGAAGTGAGAAGAAACGGCCGAGTGCAGCAGTTGAAGGCCAGGAGGAAGTCCCTGGCTTCTCGACGCTTACACAGGTCTGCTGCGGAATGCTAAGGCTTTCTGCTCCCAGAGTCCAGACTTCTTCCTCTGCCTCACGGGGTCCCTGCGAGTCAGAAGTAACTCAAGGCTGGGATTGAGGTTTGTCTTTGGACAGAATCTTTTAAGGAGCACCCACGGGCAGTCTCGGGCAGGCACTGGACTGCTAACCGAGCCCATCAGCCGCTTTGTGGGCAAAGATGTGGCTCGCTGCTCCGGCCAAGATTTAGTCTCAGGAAACTCCATAAAGGGGTCACCATGCGTCAGAATTGGCGTGACAACAGTGGGTTTGATACAGTCTTTTAAGAGATGAAGCATTACATTTCATAACTGATTTTAGGAGCACCTGTGAACTCGTTGTTGCAGGCCCTTGTTATTTTTATTTATACCACTATAAAAACCCTCAAAACGAACTCTGCTTACCCCTCACCTCTTCTTGCTGCAGTCTAACCTGACAGATGACTTCCTGCAGTACAACTGAACAACTCACATCACTCCCATCGCTCAGAAACGTATCAGGTGCCTCTCCTCCTGATTGACGCAGGCGTTCCTTACGGTGAAGGCAGAGAACCGCACACCACGGCTCCTCCACAGAAATTCACTTCGTCACTCTAATAAAATGGAGTCGTTAATCGCGTGTCCTCGATATTTTGTGAACTTCTTCAGCCTCAGTTTCTTCAGTTCCACAGCCTTTACTCAGGAATACCATTCCTCTCCTTACCAATGGGAATTGTATCTTCCATGGTTCATCGGAAATCCTACTTAGCCCATACAAATGTTCCCAAGCCCTCCTCCTCTCCTCTGAGCCCAGAACACATTTTCTGGATTTGATCTCATTTATTCAATCCACTGCACACTTTATGTAACATCTCTTATGCTAAGCTGCATCTTTCTTCAGGCCAGATATTTTCTCCTGCTATCTTACCTTCTCCTCCAAGACTGCCCAACACAGTGCACACAGGAGTCCCGTGGCATCCCCTGGAAGGCATTGTAGCAGAACTGTGACAACACTGGAGCTCGGGAGGTCTAAATGGTAGACTTGCTCAATAAGGCTTTTTACATCAAACAAAAATGAAGCATTTCCGCTTCCCTTCAGGGCCTGCTACCTTAACTCACAAGTTAACGATGCTTTAGATTTGTGTAAATGAGATGCCGTTTGCTGTTTCAGCAAGTTCTATTGTGAGAGCCAAATACCCTTCTGGACCATAGTCAATCAGCGTGTCGGGGACATGACTGCCACCCCCACGGTGAAAAGAAGCAAAGCCACTCCCTTCCCCCTTGGATACAAAAACTGCAAACAGACGATGAGGCAGACACACAGATATGCAGTGGCAGACACACGGGGCAAAACAAGTACCCCTGCCGGGCTGTGGGATGGGAAGCAGCAGGCAGAGGTAGATACCAGTAGCCAAGCTGTAGTGTACTAGATCTATCAAGTTATATCTGTACAAAGAGAAATATAATGGCATTAGACCTTACCTCCAAAGTCCAGGTATAAGACAGTATTTTAAGTAAAACTGCATTAAAAGCAAAGCTCTACAAGCACTTCTAAAATAAACCTCATTATATATATAAACGATAACAAGGGTTCCTGGGGGCAAAGGGAGGGGAGGGAGCGTATAATGGGGAACAGATTTCAAAGAGTTCCAGAAAAAAGAAAATGTTTTGAAACTGATTGTAGTAGCAATTGCACAAGTATGCTTGATCTATTTGATTAATGGAATGTTACGACATCTTTAAGAGCTCCCAATATGCTGGAGAAAAAAAAACCCCAATAAAAATATCCTCATTAATTTGAGACACACTCAGTATGCTCAATTTTGTTTAAGTTCCTTTTAAGAAAAAAAGTACATTGTTATTATTAAAAATTTAAATGCTGGATTAAGATAAACTACACATGCATTTTGATGAAGAGCACTGCTGCTTGACGAACAAAACACTGATTAACCGTGTTTGGAAAGTAAACGCACCTTCAGAGATCGCACCGAGTCATCAGCCAGACCGATGACATTCACATAAAGGAGATTGCTGTGCTTCAGGAACAAGACACAGTGATCCTTGAACATGTCCAAGTCCACAACTTTGGTGTTTCTCTTCATCGTGAAAAATAAATCCCAATTCATAACAGCAGGACTATCAGCTGCTGTTCTCATGAGCTGTTTGAAGGAAAAAGAGGTAACAAAAGCTGAACAGTTATGGCATCCAGAGATTAACCTATCCAAAACTAGACCACAAATGTTCATCTTCCTGTTTTATGAGAAGCTGAAGGAATGTCCTCTGAATCAGGGATGCGTGTGACCGGCTTCAGGTGACTGAGCCCATGCTAGCGTGTTGGATGCTAACAAAGTGTCATCCTGAGCTGAGCTGAGCTGACGGCCAACACTAACCACAGGACTGTCAGCTGGCTGCAGATGTCTGAGTGAGTCTACTGAGAACAGTAGTCCAACGGCCAACTAACAAAACCCTACAATTGTACGTTTCTTAAATTAAGTCACTCAGTTTGGCTTCTGTTAACTGATAGAATCATGCTAGAGTATGCCATAGTTCTTAACCTTTTTAGGAGCAATGAAAAGACATGGAGGTATTACCCCTAAGGAAAGAGAAGAATGATAAAGAATCGTGTTGCGTAGGAAGGTGGCACAGATTTCTACATTTATGAAGCAAGAAATGCTGTTGATGGGAGTGTGGCCGTCTCAAGAAACCACCTGGGAAGAAGGGAAATTCAGGAATACCTTGAATTCTGTAGGCTCGCCTACGTTAGTGAGTATGTACAGTTCATCATCTCTGTGTTCAACGTAGTACAGGACCCCAGGAATTCGCTTCTGGATAAGGAATGGTGGGTCCCAAGGGCTCAGGCCATCTACCAACCACACTTCAGAAGTGGTCTTGTTCATAATATTTATGGTGAGGTAACGACTGTCTTTTGTGAGATAAAGGAAGACAAAGTAGCTGTATAAAAAAGAGAGAGAAAGAAATATGAAAACCTAGTAAATTTCATACATGAAGGAAGTAAACGTTCTCAGATTGATTGTGGAGACGATTGTACGGCTAATTGTGATTCAACTATTGAAATGTATGTGACATTTATCCCAATAAAACTGTTAAAAAAGAGAAAATGTAGTAAATTTTACATGCATGCTGTCTTGTAAATAGCAGTTGTTTCACAGGGGGGTTAGTCCATTTGCTCATTTACAATGAAGATAAAAAATAAAGACACTGTATTAGTTAATGCTGCTCATATAAACCAAGAGGGTTAGTCTTATTTTTTCTCACATTCCCCCTCAAAAAACTTTCAAAATAATTCTTTCACTTGCATTTTATCATACATATTTTCCAATAAACAGAAAAGGTGCAAAGTAAAGTGAACACCTGGTACCAAGATTCTATGACTGATAACATTTGCTATATTTACTTTATCCCATGTCTATGCAGCCGGTAACCTTCCTTCATTTTCAGATAGGGGCTGTTTAATAAATATCGTTAAAGTTCTTTCAGCCCTGAGATTTTATGAAGTGGTTAATTTTGTTTTTGTTTTGGGTACCAACATCATTGCCCGTGCTACCGAAAATTATAAGGAATCAAAGTGAACACTAGCCTTAAGGAGAACTTACTCAACTATGGAGGAAAGCAAAATTTAAAAACTAATGGACATCATGGCTCAAAGCACAGCAATTTAATAATCCGATCATCTCTATGAATGAATAGAAAATTCTGTCTTCTGACGTCATGCTTTTCAGTTACAAGTTTAAAAAAGTGATTTATTATTGCTGTTTGGTAATTCTGTTACATGATTTGTTTTTATATTTTATTTTTGGTGAAAACACACAAAGCAAAAGCCACCTCATTTCAGTTTTCAGGTGTAAAGACCAGGGACCAACTGATTACATCCTTCACATTGTGTCAACATTCCTGTCCTTTCTGCGCTAGAAGTTTTACTTAAACTCCCTGCTCCTAACTTTTTCATCTGTGCTTTACAACAGCGGTTAACCTTTTGGTCATCTGTAAATGTAAAGGGACCCGATTTGAACATTGGTAAAGCGGGACACCATTGATCAAATTCATATCCTGACGAAATAGCCACATGGCAGCCGAAAACTGTGTAGCCTAGCTTGTCATGCATTCTTTTCAAAAACCGAGGCTTTTTAAAAACGCCATGGGACGTAGGAAAAATTGTTAAAAATTGGGACTGTCCCGCCAAAAGCGGATATCTGGTCACCTTAATAAATGGCTTTTATTTTTTTTAATTAACATAATACTCAAGCGGATAATCTTTACTCTTTAGGTTAAACTGCTACTTAGTTTAAACGTGATTTCAGGGGCTAATTTCAATTACAGGTTGAAAGAGCAGCTCAGTGTCATCATCTCAGGGACTCCTCCAGAATCAATAGGCCCAGTAAAGCGGGATTCAAGAACATGGAGTCTGTTTCCACATTTTCTCCCCTTGGGAGGGTTCCTGTATTACGGTACTGTGCAGCACAGGTAGCCAGGCACCCAATAGGTCTTCTCATCTCTGGTGAAGGCGGCAAACTGTTACATGTTTCATTAACAACTCAACCTTTGCAGTTAACAATGAATTTGTATTCCCTCAGTAGTCTGTATAAAATCAAGCTCTACTTTTGAACACAAACAACAATAAAAGCACGGTTATGGTCATTTTCACCTTACTCTTCTTGGTTCCTGCCAAAATCAGGATCTTTAGTCAACCAAGATCAGCACTTTAAATAGCTTCCATTTTGGGAGACATTACTACAAATATTAAGCCAAACCAAACCAAAACACAGTAGGTAGGACAGGAGGTGGCTGCTTTGTTTTATAAGGGAATAAGGAGCGCACTAATCTTAATGTACATTGAACATTGTCACTTTCCCTACAGAACCTTTTGGTGTTGAGAAAGATTTTGAGATTTGCATAATCTGCGTTTAATGACGTCACAGAAAGGGACTCGGCCCTAGCAGAAGAGAGAGAGATGAAGACCTATTTAGGAGGGATCTTTTCCCTCCTCAAAGGCCATCTAAGGAAGCGGTTCTCAACCCAGGGGTCGAATGACCATTTCACAGGGGTCGCCTAAGACCGTGGGAAACACATATTTCTGATGGTCCTAAGTACTGAGACACCACTCCTCTTTCCGGCTCCAGGCGGGTCTGCCACATGCAGATACACCCACATAAGACGACTGTTACCCAGGCTACACCATGCTTCAAGACAAAATTTCATTTATTTGTCATTAGAAGTAAATATTTCTTAATATATAATTCCATATTGTTTTTGTGATTAATCACTATGCTTTAATGATGTTCAATTTGTACCCATGAAAATACATCCTGCATATCAGATATTTACATGACGATTCATCACAGTAGCAAAATGACAGTTATGAAGGAGCAACGAAAATCACGTTATGGTTGGGGGGGTCACCACATGAGGAACGGTATAAAAGGGTCGCGGATGAGGAAGGCTGAGAACCACTGCTGTAGCAGAAAGAAACAGCACCATATAACTTGGCTTCTATTCTTAGCTCAGCATCTAAAGGGCTCTGCAACCTCAGCTAAGTCACAGCTTCTTCCTTCATAAAACAGGTGCGCGGTGTCCAAGAGTAGTAGTATGTGAGTCATATGTGTAATCTTAACTTTTCTGGTCGGCATATTAAAAAAAGCAAACAGAAATGTATTTTATTCAATCCAGTATAGCTATAATAAAATGAACATGGAATCAATATACAAATTGTTAAAAATGAGCTGTTTACATTCCTAATTTGGTTGGTGTGAGCTCTTCAAAATTTGGTGTGTATTTTATATTTTCAGCATATCTCCCATCAATATATCCACAATTCAAGTGTTCAGTAGCCATATTTGGCTTGGTGGACATGTTTAGGGCAGTTCAGAATATGATAATCTAAGATTTGTTTAAAATTTCACAAATTTGTTTAGACTTTAGGATGAAAATTTCAGCCAGGGCACGCTGGCCTTATGAAGATTCTATTTTCAAAGGTGGCTATATTATTTACAGAAAGGAACAATGGAACATCACGCGGGAGCACAGAAAGCATGTGCAAAGTTCAAGCTCTTTCTGTATATGATGTACATCTGGAGAACAAGATTTAAGGACCTGATTCTAGTACCTTGGATCTTTTTCTGTGTAAAAACGTTCATTACGTTTATTATCACCAAAAGTGGCTCGATAAACGTCGTGGCAGCGAAGGTTCCTCTGGAACGTGTAGAATAAAACATCTTCCTCTTCTTCATCTTTGACCCATTCTAAACGACAAAAACGGAAGAATTGTACTCAGCCATATTCTTACAGTTAAAATGAAAAGCAAGAGGGGGTGGACACACACATCCTAATGTGGATTGCCAAAATGAACTGCAAATTGATCCCTGGAAATTTAGTATGGCAGGCTCCCCGGTATATAATCTGTGTTCTGCATTAGCCTGGGAGTTTCCCAGAGGATGAAAATATTGTTGCATCAACTCCAAGTTTTCAAGAACTTACAGGTTTCAGGGTGGTTACGTTTCCAAAAAGGACCTGCACATTCAATATTTGGGAAAGATTTTGGTAGTCAAACTGGCTTTCAGCTGAAGAAATGTGTTTCAATCTACAAATTCCAACTTAAAGACTAAGGGAAAAAAAGGGAACATTTTCTCTCAGGCCTAAGTCTTTTCGCCCCTGTGCAAGCCCCCAGGACAGCGGAAATGATCCGGCACTATGCTGCTGGTGCTTTCTTGCTCTGACCAGCCGCTGTCCCTGGAAGTGTCCCATCACATCATGACTGCCACCTGGCTGACAGTGACTGCACAACACCATCTGAGCAGCGAGACGGATTTCAGAGAGCTGGGAATGTGCAAAACGTCTTAGATTCATTGATTGCAAAAGACTTTAATTCAAGACTGGAAAAAAAAAGATTATGATACAATTTATTTGCAAAAGTTTACGATATGTAATAAATTAGAGAATTTTTTGATATGGCAAAGTACTGCACAATTTGGACTCTGATCTTAATTCTTAAAGTATACAGATGTTATTTTAAAATCAGCATATTTAGACATAAAATTAAAGACGATGTACTCTCCTTCATAAAAGGCACCCAGGAAGTTGTTCAGCCTACAGGGCTAAGTGGAGGCCCACACCTTCTCACACACACGGCATTTCAACCTCCTTTAGGAGAGGGGGCCATTCCCTGGGGAAGCTATTTGGCTCGTGGCTTACCAAGACTGGACACGTTTGGGAAAGATGCTTCCATGACAGGGTGATCACTGAGCTTCACAACTACACAAGTAGATGACTCAGAATCCTCAGTTCTTATCTTGGCGGCCACATATTTTTCATCTGGAGCAACTCTGATACAATCAATGAAGGGCTGGTCTAATTTAAGTTCCTCCAAATTGAATAACACTTCGTAGTTGTCACTGTCGGCTGTAAAAAGGGCATGAAAGATAACGTACTTCAAATATTTAGCCACTGTGTTTGTTTTAAATGAGCATTCCTCTTCAGCAACTTAACCTGCAGAGACTAGCATTAGCTACTTAATATTGCTGCAGACTGATATTCAATTCAAATGGGGCTTCAAAAAGTTTGTGGAAAAACTTCATTATCTTTTAGTTCCACTTTCCAACAAACTTTGTGAAGGACCCCTCGTATTATTCTATGCCTCAACTTATGTGATACTGGTCTTGCATACAGTCTTTTTCAACCATAGTCTAGACAGTAAGAGACAATAAACAATCTTGAATGATGTGTGAACAGTGCTTTAGCTTAGTACCCGAGACATAGTAGAAGTAGATGCTCTACAAATGTTGGTTTCTACCTCTATTCTCCCTCTTGAAGCTTTTAAGTGTCCCTGTTAGATATACCTTAACCAAGACCAAATATTAAAAACATCATAAAAAAGGGAAAAAACTCAAACATCTTAAAAAAATAATTTCTTTACTTTTGAGGAATTACTATCAAATTTCCCATGAAAAATACAAACTGCGAAAAAGGCATCAGAGCATGTTAAGAGGATAAATTGGGATGTACCTTCTTCATCTTTTGAACGAACCAAGCAGCAGCCTTCTTGATAGTAAACAAAACCTCCGTGTTTCACCTGATAGCAAAAAGATATGAATGAGTCATTTGATAACCGATTGGGCATTATTTAGTTTAAATGTGAGGGAGCTTCAAAAACTTCATGGAAACGGAAGAGATAATGGACTGTCTGCAGAAACATTTTTAGGTTCCCCCACAGAACTTCATCATGGACTCTTCCAGATGCAGAAAGGAAGTCTCGTGTGGCAAGCAGACCTGTTGGGAGCATATGCACAAAATACACAACAAACCATGTTTTACAGCATAGTAATCATGGAGTTGTTTTCATATGTTCACCTCCCCAGAGGCTTTCCAAATGCATACATGCATGAGATAAGAGAAGGCAGAGCAAAACCGTCTCAGCTGTATGAGTATGCCGGGGACATCTGACACCCTATAGAGCACAGGTTAGGAACTACTGATTTGATTCAATTAACAAGGTTCAAGGGGCATCTTTAAGAAAAAAATCTGGCATCGTTAAAATAATTCAAAATGAAACAGATGAGAGAACTCTGACTCAGATTAGCCAGAAAAGCCAGAAAACAATACTCTGAGATGCTTTGCTCTACAATCTGTTGCCAACTGTGCGCTATTTGATTTGATTCTAAAAGAACTGTGCTTGCTTCGGCAGCACATACACTAAAATTCAAAAAGAATTACTCACTGTGGGGTGACAAACATAGGCAGTTAGAGATGAAGAGAATAAGCATTACCAATCTCAGACTAGTGTTCTTACTTACCGCCTACAAATCAAACACGACTGCTTACCTGAAAGGACGTTAGATGGCATAGGACACCTTTACTAAATGCTCGCTAGTGGCACAGTTTTAAACTGGAACTCCTGCTTTACAAGAACCCAGTGCTATCCTCATGCACCATGGATGTGCTTTCCATCCATAATCTGTGGTTCTGTTTCTCATCTTACTGAAAATTTTGTTTGTTTGATCTGTATCTTCATTATCTACGACGGTGGCAACCATAAAATGTTTATACAAATAGTTGGCTTATACTACTTTTCCATTTCCAAAAATGTGTAGAGAAAGAAATTGAATTCTTCTCAGATAATAAATATGAATTAATTTATTTTGAACTTCTTGTAATTATGCAAAATGTAAACAAAAATCAGACCTGACTGCTTCCAAAATACACAGTTAATGTATTACATACACTTGGGCATTCATCTTTATTTCGATCTTTACAATTTATTTTAAGGACTACACTTCCACTTACTCTTGGCTCTACGTCTTCCAGCACATTTTTTAAGTCAAAAGCAGTATAAATTTGATGTGAGACATCTTTTCAAATTATAAAGTATCTCATTTGTAGTAACTGGTAATGCCAGATTTCTATAAATGAGACGTGCAAAAAAAAAAAGGAAAAAGAGGGAGACGTGCGAGAGCCCACCTCTGCATTGATGATTTCGTATTCTTCCTGTGGCTGTGTTTCCAACCTCGTTCTCACTTTTTCAAAGGCATCCATGTTTTCTGAAGGGGAGTTTTTGCTTTCTTGTTTAAGCGGCAGAAGATCCTGAAAAAAGTTTTATTGGTATGAATGAACTCTTTCAAACTAGGAAAAAAGAAGTCAAAAAAAAAAAATCTGATCATTCAATACTCTGCCGGTTTGTTCAGGCAAGAGTTCTGGGCAGCGTTCTCAACGCCAGCTCTCTGCACCAAGCTTTGTGCCGGACCTCCCACAGTGGGTGGAGATTAACTGCACGGACAAGTGTGTCCACGATACTCTCCTTATCAGAGTTTACAATTTAAAATTAAACATCATCACAAAACCAAAAACCCACTAACACAAAGTAAGTGGAGAAACAACCATTTTCACAAAGGTTTCTCCCTTCAACTTGAGAGGCTTTATGATTTGGCTGAGCCTCAAATTTGGTGCTGTAGGTGTGGTATTCTCAATCATTCAGTCTCTGTTTCGACGATGGAAGGACTTTGTGGAGCTACTACGTGATGTTCGTTCAGACTCCAGCCATCGGAGGGTCATAGTTGTCATGCATATTTACTATTTGCGGGTGGGCTTGAACCGTCAGCTCTTCGTTATAGTAAATGTGGTGAGCATTTGCACCCCCCAGGGATTCCAACAGAGCACTAGGAACTGCTGGTTCCCTCCAGCCCCAGGCTTGTTTGTTCTGTACGTTCACAGCACTTTTGTAGTGTCAGGATACCTTTGAACGTGCCTCTCTGCCGTCAAGAGCCAACTCATGACACGTTCTAGGTTCTACAAGAACCCGGCTCTGTCACGTCTATATGCGTACTCTAACTGGGGGCCACAGCCAAAGCAGAACTGAAGTTAATACAGCTGGATCCAAGACTCATCCTCTTAACTGAATTTACATTCCTGATTTAACATTTTCCTGTCATAGATCCAAGTAAGCACTGTATAAATAATTCCTCAAAAGGAAGTAGGCTCGGGGAAACTGGAACGTGACAGAATACTCATCAAGCACTCCCAGTTACTTTTGGGTCTTAGTCTGTCACAGCAGCAAGTGCTTCGAGATTTTATTTTAACTGCTGCCCTGGAAGTGATGTTGGATAAGACTGCTCACTGTGAGGTTGGTGGTTCAAATTCACCAGTTGCTCCTTGGGAAAGGAACAAATGACAGCCTAGGGCACTTTACGAAGGGTCCTTAGGAGCCAGAATCGACTCAGAGGCAGTAGGTTTGGTACCGTCATCAGAGCACTGGTGCACTGTGGGATGAGGGCTGTGATGCTAACCCCAGACCAGTGTTTCACAACCACCAGCAGCATTTAGGAGAACAATGAGGTGGTCTGCTTCCCTCCAGATGATAATCGCAGAGACCCGATTCAGGGCCACTCTGAGTCAGAATCAACTCAATGGCAGTGGGCTTGGTGGGTTAGGTGAGAGAGGGAACCTATTCTTTTTTAGCCAACTCTTCATACTCTACCAATCTACTTGTGTTAAGGTCATATGCTAGCTAATAAGGGTGAGGTGAGTAATACTTCAACTGCTCTAAATTTTACGAAAGTTACAGCATTCCAGTGGTAGAAAAACTGAGCACACCTGCTGCTTTCCAGGTGACTCATCCAAAAACCATGAAATCAAGAGGAAGTTGTTCTAAAACAGAAGACCGGAATATGTAAAACCTTAATGGCAACCATGTTGACCACTAACAACAGACAAATGGTGACGCAGAGCGGCACTGGAGGGATGGATGTCAAATTGGTGCTATTTGCACGCAGCTGATTCCAACTCTGGGGTAGGCGGGGTATGGACTAGTCTGGGGCAGTTCATGCCAGAAAGTCCAGACTTGCTGAAAGAGTCATGGAGATGTATCCAAAGAACACATAGCCAGCTTCCTCCTGGCCACCTCTGGGACAAGGCGAGCATCAAAAAGACTAATTACTATCACTGGTTACAATGCACTTAGAAAAAACAAAACAGTAATAGTTTTAAAACACTAAGGCACAAACATTTAAATGAAAACAAGGATCTAAGAAAATGAAATTATTTACTCATAGGTTCTTCATAGAATAAGACCACTGAATCAATCTCAGAATAATAATAGAATTGGAACATTACTGGTGAGCAACTCCCATTGAAACAATGATTTTGGATAAAGATCAGTGTTTGCTAAACTCATTAGATGAAAGAATGTTGGGTAACATTTGCACAATAATAAAATGCTATGGATTACCTATTCACTGCAAAGGAAGTAATACTCCATCAACAATGGCGAAAACTAGTAGTTATTACCCTGACTGAAATGATCAAATTCATAGCCTACCATCCCACGCACCGCTCCCTGCTGAAAGGCTTAAGTGTGGTATATACAATAGAATTCTATACAACGCTTAAAATAAATGCACTATATAAAGATATATAGGAATTTCAAATTCATGTTTAGTGAAAAGGCATGTTATAGAATTGTACATACATTATAAATAATAGTTGACTAGTTTTCAAACATACATACAGTACTACACATTATTTGCAGATTACTATATAGCTATCTAACATGTAGCTATTTATAGAAAGGCTAAGGATACCAATGATCTCCTGGAGAGATAAAGGAACGTAATCAGGGAGAACAGACGGGGTTTTTCAAGTATGTAATTATTTTAGTTAAAAAAGTCATGTTGAATAGTGGTTACATGGAAATTTGTTATGGCATCCTCTATGACTGTAAAAATCATTTGTGATGATTTACTATACAAGGCATGAAAAAAGAAAAGTACTGTGAATTAGGTTACCTGAAGTTTATCTTAACAATTTATTTTGAAACCTTGGGCTCTGTGGCTTTGGTTTTATCATTTGTTAAAAAAGAAAAAAAGGTCACACACTTCCTAATTTCAGAATTAACAACAGAGCTACGTGATTACTCGATGAATCCTGACTACTTTAAGTAACCAAGATAGTGTGGTGTAGACATATAAGTAAATCTTGGCATTTAATTGGTTTTAGACAAGGATATGAAGAAAATTTATTACGGAAAACACTCTTCGGCAAATGGTGCTGGGAACATTGGATACTCACATGTAAAAGGATGAAGCAGTTAACTACCCCTTATACCACCTGCACGTATTACCGTATATGCTCGTGTATAAGCCGAGTTTTTCAGCACATTTTTAA